AAAACCCTGGCCAGATTCTGCTGGAGTCAACAGAGACACTCCCATGGAAGTGAAGCTGGATTAGGTCACTGGCTGCCATGGGAGAGGAACATGGCCAGGTCTGCTGGCTCAGACACACAGCAACTTCAGCCTGTGAGGTAGATGGAAATAGCAGGCTACAGCTTCTTAACAAACATCCAGAATAACTAACCAATAGTTATGGGATATCGTGTCCATGTAGGAATTGTGCTGGACTACAGGTTAAGAGCTCTTAGCTGTGGGTTCCAAAGGGTTTTGGCCTCTTTTCCTAGCACTGAGGAGCCATAAATTCTCATCTTACAGCTCAGCTCCTGCTCAACAGTGAACCCCACCTGCTGGGGTCCTTCTCAGAGCTCTTCAAAACTCAACCTGTAAAAGACACATGGGGTTTTTATTGTGTTGTAAAAATAAGTTGATTTGGTTGTGACCAGCATGGTCTGTAGCACAGTTAAGCTTCAGAAAGAACTGAGACATACTTCTCCCCATTTACTTTAAAAGTTTGTCCCTCTTAGCCACAAGAAGCTCTGGAGATGTGGAAAGCATTTTAAGAGAAGCTTTTATATTTATCCCTGATTTAGACTTGATGAAGTACTCTTAAAGAACAGGTCTTATGTCTTGTCATTACTATTTTTGTTGTATCTTGTAGCGTGACAAGAAATACTTACCCAAGCTACCAAAAGAGAAAAACTTTTTGAGAGAGCCTGTTCTTGCAAGATTTTTCATCCCAATATTTACAGGCCCAGGATGTCCCTATAAACTTTGGATATGTTATTCAAACTTTGGATGGTTATTAAAAATAAGTACAAGCACTGAAATTTTTCCATCACTAGTTATTACATCCAATTCCTCCCCTTTCCACCAAGAATCGGAGTGTCCCTCTTCAGGAAGTTCCTATGCTCAGTGGCTCTTGATTGACCACAGAGGAATACATAGGATTTCACTAATGTCTATACCAGGCTTTTGAAAGAGGTCACACTGCTATTATTTTCCAGTATTTAAGCAAATCTTTCTTATTTAAAACTTGAAAAAAACTGAGCTTATACTTCCAAGCATTACCTTGACAAAGCATCTGCAGCTCTTCCCAATGATGAACTGAGAGTCTGTAGGTTCAGGGGTTCAGTGAAGCACAGACTTGGACTCTCCCCATTGGGACCAAGCTGGAGTTCATCCATCCTGCACTCAGGAGTGAAATACGGGCAGCAGATTCTACTCAGTCCCTGGTGAACAGTAGCTCACACAATAAAACTATCATACCTAATTCAGCTTTTGAGGGAAAGGCCTTGCCTGCAGGCTGATTTATGGGCTAACCCAGCAGAAGATACTCCCTATAGGTCAGGTGTGATGAGGTCATTGACAGGGCAATAGCAACGAAGTTTTTGACTGTAAATTCCCTTTATTTCAAAAGCTGTAACAGACAACTATAAACAATTTGGAAAAGGCTCCTCCATAACTCAAGGAAAATATTCTTGCTTTATGTACTTCATAAAGTATTGCTATATTCCCATTATCTTTTCTTTCCTTTTCCTTATGTATAAAGTAAGGCTACCAGGATAAATTTATTCTCCACGTTGACAGAACTATCTTCTGAGTACTTTCAAGTTCATTTACAAAATTCAGTGGAGATTGCTTCAATTAGGGTCATCTGGTCATGTATCCTTGATCCTTTGATCACCAAAGCCGAAATACCATGTTAGTAATCTCTGCGCTACCATTTGGGTTAATGAATCGGCTTGACTTTAATTCTAGCCCAGATGTAATCTTTTATAGCTTAATGATTTGTTCCAACATGAACTCCAATTGAATGTAAACAGTTTCTTTATTTAGAGAGAAAATTCTTTTTTATAACTTGTTTCTCTTCCTAATTAATTCTAGAGCAATTAAATCAAACCTTGATCTGTGGCAATCAAGATTAAATCATAGTATAGGTTAGGCTGTTAATATCGTCTTTGAGTTCATTATTATCAAGGCTAACAGTAATCAGCAAAGGAGGGAGAAACTGATGTAGCGAAGACTACAGATCTGAGGACTTGTTCTTATTTTTAATAGCTGATCTGATTTAATATATGATAATACTTGCACTTATTTAGTAACGGTTTTCCAAGGAGCTCAGCATACTCTCCCAAAGTTAATTTATTCTCACAACACTGATGTGCGGGAGGTAAACATTATCTCCCAGGGACACTGAAAAGTTTTGAGGCACAGAAGAGTTGTGGGCTGTTTGCAAAGTCACAGATTGGGGCCCAGATCTTAATGCCATTAACAAATCATTAGCTGGGGACCTTCACCATAAACTCTGGTTATGATAAGAGAGGAACAGCACCTCATCCATAAGCACTCACCAAGCATCCTGCTTAAGATGGATTTGTTGGCCACTGCATCCCGGCAGTCCTTGGAGTTAAAAGCTGCCAGTGCTGTGAGCTGGCTGCCTCCACAGAGCTCCTTCCATCACACCTCCTCAAGGGGACTCGCCGTGTACCTCGGCCCTGCAGCTGCCAAGGGGGATTTGTGTTCCCAGAGGTAAAAAAATTCATTTGTAAGTTAAATGATGGATTTGACAGACATTGCAGTTCTGAGATTTGTTTAAACAATCTGGCCTGTCCACATTACCACAAACCTTCGTTTTGAACCAAGCCTAGATTTAAAGGACAGTGAAAGGGACACTTTGCAGCCCTGACTATCCTCAAATTGAGGTACTGATGTCTAAGAGGAGTCCCAGCTGAACCCGTTCTCTGCCTGGATCTCTGTCCATAATTATATTATCCCATGCTGTGGCAGATTAATCCTGACTGTGCAGGAAACTCCTGCCCATTTGGGTCATCCTTGAGAGGTACAACAATTGTATGGAGGGGTCCGAATTACCCCAGTTCAACTCCAAACAGGGAAACACAAGAAAGCATCACAACCTTGTTTGTACTCCAGTTCTATATTAGCTTCAAAAAACTACAGCAGTGCCATTTTCAATTCAGTGTTATGCTGGAAAGGTTGCAAATTAATTAGAATTATGCCTTCTTTGTGCCAAGTGATAATTTACTGCAATTAATTATCAAAAGATCTACTGCTGTCAATTACGGTACTTGCTCTTTGGGGGGGAGAAGCTATTTACGTATAGCTAAATTCTGTAACAAAGTTCCATTTTACTTTTATTGTTTTCAATTAAACTATCATCATTTGCCTTGCCTCTGCCAAATACAATAAAGACTCGTTAAGAACTAATCATGCTACTGTGACCTTTTTTTTAATCCAAACATTAGCTAGACCTGCACTGAGTCAACACTCCTATTGTTACACCTGCAAATTGTACGTAGAGAGGAGCATACTTCAGAATTAATGAGCACAGCTGTGGTCTCTCTTACATTCAACACTTGTAAAATAGACCTCTTTAAAGTGCCATTATCACAATATTGATAGAGTTATTTATAGTACTGCAAACGTTCCCAGTCATAACAGAGTCCTTGTTATCCCCCACAGCAGTTCATGTTGTTGCCATCTCCTGGACTCATTCCACAGTTTGTGATAAGGCACCACGTGGACAATCCTTTACGAACAAACTATAAAAGACATTAGTAAAACTTCTACACAGGCAAGTTTTGAAGCTTGGAATAGGTCAAGCTGTCAAGACCCAGCCTGCACAAGACTTGCCATGTTCTTGTGCTGCGCAGGTTCCTGTAATTTCTGGGTGGGATGTGAAATGAAATTCCAGGAAGCACAAGCTGCAAAGGATCTGGATGGCATTGTCCAAATGAGAGCTGCTTTTTGCAGTTAGTAAGACTGTTTTACCATAATTCAGTAAAACAGATGTAAGTTCAAACTCTTGGTGTCAGTCGCTGAAAACAAATACCACAGGTGCCAACTTTGGTTGCTAAGGGAATACAAGCTCCTCGGGCTTCCCAGTACGTGTGCAAACAGCTAGAAATTGGCCAAGGCAGAGGTTCTGCTGTCAGCAGGAAGGGAGTTGCTTTTCTCAGGTGTCTTTCTACTCAGCTTGATCTCCTGACACATTACTGAAGTATCAGCCAATGTGGTCAAGATGAAGTCAGCAGGAGACTTCATCAGTGTGAGTTTTCCTATTCTCAGTACTGCACTGCCAGGCATTTGTTTGTGATATTAGTCTTATTGTAATATTTCATATTAAGTTTTGTCACAGTTGGCTCTGTGTCCACTAAAGATCTGGATACAGCATTTGTGGGGATGCATTCATGGGAAGGTCTCCAGAGTCATCCTGCAGATCCAGCAAACCCAGTGCCCCCAACTCTTCTCCTCCCTCTTTCTGGTTGTAATGTTTCACTTTTCTTCTTATAGGACAGGAAATGACTTTGCTCCTGATCCACTGTCCCTTATCTGAGGAAAAATAGTTTTGTCATAATTCAGCCTTCATTTTGGAAGGAATTGCTGAAAAACCTCAATTCCCCCAAGAGTAAAAGTTCAACTAACACTTGGCTACTTATGAATTATTTCCCCAGATCCATTTATTTCATATCTTAAGTGCTTCGTGGCTGAAAAGTCAGATCTAAAATAACCTCACATTATATTCTCCCTCTGAATATAAGAGATTACTTTCATTGTACAGGTCAGAGAACCAGCCAAGCAGTGTTTAGCTCACAGGTGTTGCTGGGTCTGATCTCCTGAAGGCAGGGTAGACTTGTATGGTGATTCCCGGCTGAAGGCTGGTTGGCTCCTGTCTAGTTATTTGTCAGCTGTTCCTGGCTCCCTGGAGAAGGGAAGAGGTGAACTCCTGTTTTCTCTGAGGCAACAGGGAAGTACTCCAGCACAGAGTTTGAAATCCCCAAATTCCCCCACTGAGCTGCACTTCTCAGGGAGGATTTGAATCCAAACATATTCTGTTATTCATAATGGTTTGGGAAACTGATTGTTGCAAAAATGTTTTTCCAGAAGTCTCTGAGTTGTTGGGTTTGGGGGTTTTTTTGTGGGTTTTTTTTTTTTGTGGGTTTGTTTGTTTGTTTGTTTGTTTTTGTTGCTCTTGTTGTTGTTTGTTTTGTTGTTGTTGAGGTTTTTTGGGTTTGTTTGTTTGTTTTCTTTTGTTTTTGTTTTTTTTTACTTCCAAATAATTTCTATTGTCAGATTTGTTTATCTCTGTGTGTATGTACATTCTTACCATAATTTGGAGCAGTCCTGATTTTGTTAGTGTATTTCTCCTCCACTATCAGTATATTAGAATAAAAGCTGAAGAGAGAATGGGAGGAGTAGGTGGTATCAAAACCTCACAGTTACTTTGTGACTTGGGAGAGGTTTACATTTTGAGTAGCTTTTCAGGGTTTTGGAAATGTTTCTGTTTCTCAATAAAAGGAAAGACAGGGACAGAGTAGTTATGGGGAGAAGAAGTTCTGTGGAAGTGAAGGCAGAGGAGGCTGGAAACCAGGGCTATCACCTGGAACCTGCTCTGCCATTTTCCTTTGAGTGACCTTGTTCGTCAGAAGAAAGCTCTTCTGTGAGGAAACACAGAGCTGGGCTGAAATGAGGGACAAGGAGCAGTAGAGAGCTTTTCGTTTCCATAAACTTAGTGAGGGATGGCACGCAACTTCACTGCACATGTGATTAAACTAATCTAGTTAAAATCAGAAAAGGATTTCTCATAATTCAATTGGAGTTGTTTTTAATGTTTGGACTTTGGTCAAGGACAGCTTTATTGATTGAATTTAATTGCTTATATTTTCCTGTCCATTTATTGAAGCCCATTTTTCAAGTCACTTGAGAGGCTGCTAACATTTCAGAAAGGGGATATGCCAAAGCATTGCTTTAATTCATTATCTTTTTGGACATACAGTAGTTGCTACTCGGCCCAAATTAAATCCGTTAGAGAATGTGATAGCATAATTACTTACAGGTATCCAAAACTGCTTTTAACAGAATTCTCTAGGAGGTTACGCATAAGATTTGTTTTGCCCTTACATTGGATGCAAATGTCTGGGATTTCAATGATAAATAAATATTTCATCAACTGAGGACAGATTTTTCTCATTTCCATATGTTGCTGATGGACTAAAATTCTTGTGAGGTCTTTATTTTTTCCTTAAAAATAAAAGTCTTATGAATTAGCTCAGTCACTTTTTCTGAATGTGTAAACACAGTGACCCTTGAGGTAAAGAGGAAACCACCTGTAATTCTGACTTGTTTTTTTTTTTTTCTTTTAAACTGTGCTCAACCCTGAAAGACTTGCTAGACAAAACTCCACATTATCTTGATTGCTTCACGCTGTGTTCCGATGACATCAAGTCTGTGGTTCTCTAAAAGTTATGTCAGCCTGATTCCAAATGGAGTGAAGGGCTGGATGTTTCCAGCCTGGAAAGACATATGGGTTGGAAAACACCACAGGAAGGTCACCAGTGAGTTGCACTGCAACCCCCCAGTCACAGCCCTTGCTCCTGTAAGCTCTGTCCCTGCTTTCCTGACCTTCCTGCTCCTATTTCCTCATCTTCTGCTCCCAGCTGTGGCTTCCTGCCTTGGAGAAGTTCTCAGTCTAACACAGAAATGGGACATGAGCAGCTCTGTAAGGACAGAGGAGCATCTGCTGGCACTTGTGGACCCACTTGGTGTTGGGCTCAGCTCTCTGGCTCTGCACTGAAAGTACCGTGCATTATCTTGTGTTTTGTAAAAACTAAAGTTGCAGTGGTTGCAGTTTTCAAGATTGTATTTATTGATACAAGGTCTAGGCAGAAAATGTGAATCTACCTACAAAAACTCACATTCGGTGCTTTTCAGGTATCTGTTTTGTTAGGAAGATGCATAAGACAAAACTTGGTTTAGCTACAAAAACTTCAAATCAAACACAATCCAGACTTACATATTAACTTTTCTTATTTAAGAGAGCATAATGCTTCCTTGGAGTGAGACAAGGTTCTCACAAAGACCCCAGGATTTATCCTCTTCTTGCAATAGTTCTGTGGTTAACAGATGCAAGCTGAAATACCTGATGTATGTAATACCTCTCCTCCCCCCAGAACACCCAACATTTAAATGTTGCCTAATTCACAAAAGTTTTGCTTCGGAATCCAGCGATCATATCTGATAAAAGGCACAAGGAATTCCTTTCACAAGGAACTGAACCACAGATGGTTATGTGATTTGAGGGCCACTGAACATCAACAGTTTTACCAAGTGAATCAGAATTACAGAAACACCTGCATGACTGCATCTGCCGACTCAGCTAAATTACGCTTCCATCCAGCCACATGATATTTAATGTGTAATTCTTCTGCATTTTAATCAAATGCATTGTAATGACAGTACAAAATTTCAATATGAATGCACCTTAATGTAGGAGTAACTAATAGCTACCATCCATTAGTACCAGCTAAGAGACATACTTCCTCCTAAGCAACAGGGGCATGGTTATTTTAACTCATTACCTGCTTTGTAAATGACATTTAATTACATATGAAGTGGGGATGTTCACAGGACACTCCTGGAAATGCAAGATTGAGCACCCAGAAGTTAGCAAATATTTGAAAGAATATTGTAGAAAGGTGTTCCATGAACCCCTGCGTGGCAAGACAGGCTCTGTGCACTCTTCCCAAATGGTGCCTCTTCCCTGTAAAACCTGCTCCGACTTTAGCAGTTTAGAGCTGTAAAATTTTTGCTAAGCACAAGCAAATGTGAAGTTTCTACAGGTTTTTGAGAGTCAATGGATTTTTGAGACTTCCATAAAACATTCCTTGAGAAACAGATGATGTGGGACACTCTCTTAGTTGTTGTTTTTAAACCAGGTTTACAGGTCAAACTATGAGAACAGTAACACTGCAAAATATTTCCTAGAACCTTTCTTAAGGATAGATGAATTAGTTTGGGTAAAATTTTTCTAGAAAAAAATCAGTCTGATCAAAAAAATGAATTTTGGACAATATCTCCTAGTGGTTAATACTAATTAAAATTTTGAGCATCAAAAATCAGCCTTTAAAACAGAAAAGACTGGCCAACCTTGACTGACCAACCTTAGGAGATGGATAACTGTGAGTTACTGTGTGCTGAAATTGCTCTCATTTGGCTTTATCCTGAGATGTGCCCCTCAGTTCTGATGCCCACAGGGACTAAATTCAAGATTTTGGCCCTGGTACAAGGTCCTGCCCACAGTGGAACTGGGGAGATCAGGGCCAGATCTCTGGGAAACAGACACTGCTGTATCCTGGTGCTCTGTTCAATGCTTGTTCATGCTTCTAGTGCCAGTAGGGAAAATGTGAAAGCATGGAGTGAGGTAGAAAGTGAAGATTTAAACGAAGCAAATTAATTCCTGAAGGGCTGGCTATTGAAACACTGTGCTTCCTGCCCATGTTTGTCTTTACTTCAATTCATTGGTCCCTAGTGCACCCAGAATTATAGCTCAGTAAACTTCTTCAAGGATCATACATTTAAAAAAAACAACCATCCAAAATCTCAAAGTATGGCTTAAAAGCAGGAAACCTCCTAGCAGAAAAGAGTGAGAGAACACGTCTTGACTTGGTCATTTCCTCTTTCAGATGTGGACACATTTTCATTACAAATTACTCTGAAATCAGTAATTATTTTCATATGGTTAACAAAAGATACTGATTCAACATTTGCATCTCCCTGAATTGCAGTAGAGTGGGATTACAAATGGCAGAGATACATCAGTTTTAAAAAACATATTGAAGACTTCAACTTAATGATGGAAAGAGTTCTGTCATTACTTGAATGGCATGTGAATATCCACAGAGTGGGGAGCCCACAGTTACCACAAAAGATGCTAAAAACAGGTACATGGAAATAAAATGTAAATGCTCAAAGTTAGCTCAGCTTTCCATTTGTTTTCCTAAGGAGTGAGTGTTAAAGCTCCAACCATCCTGCCTAGGTGGAACCACAGACAGAGCTCAAACATCCAAGTCCCACTTAATTCCTTAAAAGACCTGCCCTTTCTTTAATGGAGTGACTTAACTGTTTCATGGCAAACAGAAGAGAACACACAGAATAAAGCTACTTTATGCAATAGCCTTGGATTCCAGTTTGTGTCTAAGAAATATTTACCATAAGCCTGCAAACTTCTCCAGGCAGCTCCCGTGTGGAAGAAGGAAAGGGAGGTTGCACTCGGTGGTCCTGTTAAGTGCAGTGATTTCTAATAACAGCCACATTTGCTGTGAGTGATCTGGATCAACATCAAAAAAAAATCCCCATCTAGTCAAGTGCCCAGCAAGGGGTCTATTCTCATGTCCATGCTCATATGTTAAGTCCCATTGACAAGCATTAGTGGGAACGGCATGCACATATGGATATGTGAATAGCCCCAATGGGATCTGCATAAAGCAGTGTTTGACTATACAGAGATCGCTTCAACTGCCACAATAAAATAATAGAGGGGGGGAAGCCTTAAAGAGTGCTGTGAACAAGCCAAACAATTAAAGAAATTGATAAATAATGGCAGTTAAAAATGAAACAGCAAAATTAAAACAGCATTGGAATCTATTGTTTGAAATAAATACAGAATGAGAACTATCTTTAAGAAATTAACCCTGGCAAAAATTTATAAAACAGCTCATAACTCCAAGTTCTCTAATTTTTAAAACCTCTTTGACTTCCCCTTACTCTATATCCTAAATAGAAACAATAGACACAGCAGAAAGCTCTTACTGACAAGAGGTGAGTTAAGAAATGCACTGATAAGCATTGCTCTGCTGAAGAACACGGGACATGAAATAGTGGCAGCTCTACAATAGGTCAATGATAATGATGCTCCTGAGGTTATGCAACACCGACAGCCACTGTATAAATGTCAGAGCATTGCAGAAACTTCCTGGAAGTGGTTTCTTGCTACCTGAGAAGGCTCCAGCAGCCAGTCTGCTGGACACCAAAAATATCTAAAGGATTTGTTCTCTTTCTGCAGGAACTCTCCAGATTTTCCCCTGAAGCTGCTACCTAATTCAAAATCCCATTTTGGAGATTTTGAGGATTTTTGAATGCCATATTGATGATTTGGAGAACTGTTCTTGCTTATGCTCACATAGCTGAAACAACAAAACCCTTCCTGACAGCCACACATAAATAGGTGCAATGAACAATGAAATCATCAATTAACAAAGCAGGCAGCAATCACTGCTGTGATAAGTGCCCATATTAAGAACCTAAATTGATGTGATATGGAATAGATGATAAGCAAATAATGGGTATAAATCAGGTCTAATTGTGATGAAGCTCACTGGTTTCTTACCCTTTTCTGATGCCCATAGTGGAATTCAACTACTGAATTGCAAGTTATTGCAGAGTCCTGCATGTCTATGAAAGTCTCACTGGCTTCAGACCCAGGTCCAAACTGTTCCAGCAATGGTGCTTTGGAACATTCTGAGGTGAAGCAATCCATATGACTGACAGTGAAAGCTCTTATCTTACAGGATGTCCTTTTTCAGTGGTCATTTAGACCAACAGCCAACTTATTAATCACAGTAAACCAAAGCTTGTTAGATCCCTGCTGGCCAAAGCACTTGAGAAGACAAAAGACACCATGTTCCAGCTGACACCTGCAAGTAATTACACATGGTGATAGCAGTGCCTGAAAGAACAAATTGAGAACCAATGCTAAGAGGAGAGGTGCATTTCTTTTTTATAGACTGAACTATTTTCTGATCTCCAAGTTCCTTAGGGTTTTAGAAATCAAAGGCAAATTAAGCAGGGTAAAGAAAATCAGTTGCCAGGTGTTTATCTGGAGAAATTATAGATCTCCAGTGATTTTAACCAGTTCTGAAAGCACACTCCCCTTCTAAGATGACACTGTATTTTATTATAAGATTGTTTAATCAGCGTAACGGCAGAGGGGAACTGCTCCATGGAGAACAGAATCTGGAGGCCCACTCTCCCAGAGTGTTTTCTCTACCTACCAACAGATTTTTCAGTCTGTCTCCAATATCTTTGGATATCAGAACACATATGAGGCATGACAAAGACAGGCATGCATTTTTAGAAGGCAAAATATGATGGCTGATCCTTTCCTAAAAACCTCCTGGAGAGGAGAGAAGATGAGAAGATGAGAAGATGGCTCCTCCTCTGAAGAGCACAAACAACCACAGCCAGGTAGGAGAACTCTGAGTTATGTTCCCCTTTAGTGAATATTTATTATATTAGCACTATTTGAATGTTACTGAATCTTGGTTTAAAAGGGAGTGATGGGGAGATATTCGATTTAGGCAGAATTTGTTAATAAAACTCAAAATGCATGCTATGTTTTCAGTACTGAATTCTGTTTTGATAAAACCCATTATCAGAAATTGTTTTCACTCTATCAGTGCATTGATATAAGTATTTAGAAATGCTAAGCAGAAAATAATGTTGCAAGGAGCAGTAAAGATATATAATAACATATTTTGCCTTGTTTTCAGATATCCACTTCTGGAAAATAATCTACCCCCAGGTTCAACTTTGAAGACTTCTTCATATTGAAAGAAAAGAGGAAGATGAATTTACATTCAGAGACTGAGAAATAAGTCACCATCATGTCATACCGCCACATCCTGGATCTATCAGATGTTTTAGAGCAAAGCAAGTTTCTCAGATAACATCCACCCCAGCAACTAATTTCAGCTTGTGTTTCATTTTAAGCTGCTGAGTTGATTGGTGGGACAATTTTCTGCACTGAGTCAATCAGCAGCATCACTGCAAGGCACAGGCAGGTCCTCAGCCACTGCATTGATCTCTGCTTAAGTCCCCGAGACTGTTGAGCTGTCCAGGCTTTGCTTCACTGACAATTCCAATGTCCCTCAAACCTCTGGCATTTGAGTTATCAATTAATAATTCTGCTCTGTGTCTTTTTTTTGCTTTGGTTTGTTATACAGTTATCAGTGTCTCTTCCTTGGACAGTGTGTAGTAGTTTTGGTGCAGTTACATAGGCTGAAATACCATCAGTGACATTCTGCACTTCCATGTGGGCAATGAATGAAATGCATGAAATCTCATAGAGGTTTGTACTGAAATTTCCCTGAAGAACAGTGGTCTTGGGAAAACCACCCAGGACCACCTGGAGGCACATGTTCCACGCAGCTGGTGGAGTGTGTGAAGGAAGGCAGTAACTCCAGCTAGCTACAGTCAATTGAGGGACTGCCTCAGGTAAATAATTAGGAGGTACATACACAAAGAAATGCAATCTCTTCATGTACCACACATGCACTGTGAGCTCTGCTGAACGGAGTTATTTTGCAGAGCTTGACACAATCAACTTGAGCTGAGGTTTTAAAAAGGACGCTTAGTATAGACTGAAAATGTTTTAACTGTCAGGAATGGCATCTTCCCTGGAGCATTTTTCTCTAGGGGAAAACAGCCTGATCCTCACCAGCTGTAAATGGCAGTGCTGCTCCCACAGAGGAAAGGGCTGTCAATCCACAGCAGGGGTGGCTGGAAAGACCCCAGGGAGCAGTAAAGGAAACCTGAGCATTAAGGTTTTTCATATCAGATCCAGTTACATCTGTCTGTAAAATTAGTAACAACACAGACACCTGGAAGTTATGATTCATGGGCTAATAAATATGTTAAAAGGTAGAGAGGATTGTGCTGAGCCTTGCACAGAACTGTCTGTGCTATTGGATTTGATAGATTTTAGCTCCTGGCTTTGGTCAGTGGCTCAGCTAAATTGTGCTCTGTCCGAATTTAGATGGGAGACCTCCAGGAGTGTGCCAGAGCTGAAGGAAATGGGATGAGGTCCCTGCTTCCTCTTCTTTCTGCATTACACTGGGCTGTAATTGGAGGCACCATGTGGTGGTACTGTAGAGTCTTGAAATGATTATTGCCTGCTCATGGCTTTGACAGTAGTTGAGGGTTTCTGGGTGTTGAGAGAGGAGCAAGTTTGTAGGATGCAAGCAACACATGGGGAACTGCTGTGGTGGGTGTGTATGGTCAGAGCAGAAGGAAACTGTATGAGCAGCAGGACAAGTGTTTGGCAGCATTTCTTACAGTAATCAATTACTGAGACAGAATTGTATCAGAAAAAGAGGCTTGGGGTGAAGCTTCAGGCTAATATTCTGCCTGTAATCCAGTCCCATCCAGGAATGTCTGATTCACACTGTGAATAAAACAGGCTTCCAGGTAGAAGATGCCCAGAGATGGGGTCACTGCTTCTCCTTTACCACAGAGCAGAGGCAAAGAACTCTGAGGAATCAGCCATTTCATACCAGGAGACAGGAAAAGGGTGACAAATCTACTAGTTGGGGGCTGCTTTTTGGAGGGGTTGTGTAGGTCAAGCCACACACAAAGTGTCTCTTTTAAAAATAATATGTTATTAGAGATATATGAATGTGCGATATCTGCACACCTGGCCTGGGTCTGGAGAGCCCATGAAATGTGTTAGACTAGTTATTACTTGATTATTCCATTGCACAGGTGTACGTTCCTGCTCCCAAATGCTTATGCAATATCTCTGCTGATGTATACAGACTCACAGCACTGAAGGCTAGAGAAAGCCCCTTGGTACAAGACAACACACTGTGTGCCATTGCCCCTGCATTAAATGCACTCACTCGGTTTTATTTACCACAGGTCTTTTGGTCTTGCTTCAAAAATAAAATTTTAAAAAATACATTACCAACCTTGTGCCTTGAAAATCAGCCTTCATCTACTCTAACTATTAAAGCCCCCTAAATTCTCTCTTGAGTTCCTTTGACTACAACTTGTAATTATCCATTTCTCTCTGAAAGATTAAAAACATTGTCAGTATCCAGCAGATATTTCCAGACACATCTCTTAGATACTTAAATACTTACACATTACACTCCTGTCACGTCCCAGTCTTCTTTCGAGTAAGCGAGGCAGATTGAGCGCTTTAAGTCTTTCACCATTAAGCACTTTCTTCAGCCCTAAAATCCTCTCTGTGGCTCTTTTCTGCACCCTCTCCAGTTTTCCAACAATTTTTTAAAAGTGTGAGCACTAGAAACCGCATAATCTTATATTGTCTGTATTAAAAGCAATTGTGTTTGAATGGGCTCAGCTCATGAAGCAACTGAGATCACTTGGAGTGTCATTCTCATCGCTGTCTGTCACTCCACCAGTGTTCCTGTCACCCTCAGATTTATCAGCTGTGAATTTACAGTGTTTACATCCAAATCCTTGATGAAAACATTGACTAGCATCTGACCTGATGCTGATCCTGGTAAAACTCTCCCATTTGATAACAACTCCTGATTCATAGCTACTTTTTAACAGGCTGTTTGCCAATTCCTAATCTAATTAGTGCATGCTCTGCTGCTATTTCTAATGCTTTTTGATCGGAATATCACACAGTGTTAATTCTAATCTCCATAAAAAAATGAATATCACATCTCTTCATTGACCTTTATCATTCAGTCTTTACCTTCATCATATTATTTGATGCGCCTCATCAAAGAAAGAAATTGCATTTGTCTGCTAAGGCTTATTTCTCCTAAAACTGTATTTACCATCATTAATTCTATTCCTGTTCTTCTTTTCCAATACACGGTAACAGCTCAGGATGTGTTAGAGGCCCAACTTTGAGGTCAGTATGTTGTGTTATCAAACCAACCGCAACAATTCAATTCTTAAACCCATGCTGTGAAACCTGATACACTTCATTGTAGTGGTTTGATGCTTATTTACGATTATATATCATCAGGTGATTAAAAAGGACTACTTTCCACACTGCCCATGGAAAAACTCCTAGTCTTGACCACTGTTTTCCAAGTGTTTCCCAGTGACCACTGGTACAGAAACCAGTACAACCTTGAGCTTCCAGGAAGAGCTGTGTGCTTCCTGAAGCCTGCCTTAGAACACTGCCATGAAAGGGATGATGATGAAATATCAGCTATCATGTAACTATCTATAAATGTTAGATTTCTACAAAGTGATTCCACTGAATTGTAATTAAGGGTTTGAAAGTCGAATGATTTTAAGTGCTAGTTTTAATTACCGCTTGGTGAACTTTAGTGCGTTAGAATTGTCACAACTTTCCTTTAGAATTAGTGTCAAGCCAGGCAATACAGTGGGAAATTATTAACTCATACTTTGGTTCAGCAATTATCTGCATTACAAGGTTTATGCAATTAGCTGTTTAAGATGTCATTATATTTTGCCATCTGGTACACAGGAGTTTATGCATATGAACAGGCACATGTTGAAGTGATTTTCACTATATGACACTTGATCTCAACCCAAATCATCACTATAATGAGTGGAAGACACAGTGTACAGTACATTAGTGGCAGGTGCATACTATCAACTTCATTTTAATAGAAGACTTTCATGTTTCCATTTTTAAAGTATTCTGCACAAGTGCTGAAGAATTAATTGCTCGTTTGCAATCTAGCAAAAACCGAGGACACGTTATTGCTAAATGCTAAGGAACATCAGCTTGCAGGAAAGCGGCCACTTATTTAAGTTCTTTCCATCTGTAACTCCAGGCCAATTTCTGCTGCAGACAATAAGAAAGTCTCAGCTAAGTTCAGCTTAAAATGTTCTCTGGGGAACGTGCCGAATTACCTTTGTAGGCTCACAGACTCAAAGCCTCTTGAGGATGCCTGTGGTGTGGTCCCTGTGTGACAAACCCCAGTGTCACCAGTGGACAATGTATTGTCACCTTGGCCTTGCCTCTGCCTGTCATCACTTGTGCCTGCTGGCTCACACTTAACACACAGATTCTAAATCGGGGGGGGGGAAAGCATTGCTGTTGGCAGCTTCCCACCAGGAAATCCTCGTTTCCAGGCGGTGCAAAATGTAAATATCGATAACGCCAGCACCGCATACTCAGATAATACCTGGTATTTCTGACACATATTACGTCTGGTGTTCTAAAAATATTCACAGCCTTTAATTAATTAAATTGCATGCAGCTATTAACCTCATTTGACACAAGGAAACCTGTCTGTGGAATGGTAGGAGACCTCCTCAGTCATGGGAAGGCTGTGCAGAGCCTGAGAGTGAGCTGCCTACAGGGACTATGCTCACAGAACTGCAGTGCAGGCAGCTAAAACTGCATCACCGTCCTTTAGCTGCCAAAGTTGGGGCCGTGGCTTGCAGCAGGACATGGGTTTGTCACGGGAGAATGGACAGGATAGCTCCTGCCACATCCTTCTCTGAGCAGGCCTGAGTGTTGAACACATCAGACAACGCACTCGCGTGGGTCTGCTGGAAAATCACACTTCTTGGGAACAGTCATTGTTTTGGGTTCTGGTATTCCAGTCAGGATATTCTCCGTGTCTTGGGGCAGTGCTGGTTGCCTCAGCAGGAGGAGGCAGCGTTCCCAGACCTGCTTCCAGGCACAGCCCTGGCTCCAAGCAGGGGACAGTGCTGCATCTCCACGTGCAGTCGCTGCAACTTCATTATTGAATTACATTAACAGGCCGCCCTCTAGTGTCATCTTTTATTTCTTGGGTAAAAAAAAAATGGGCTCCTCGGGTAAAAAATGTGTATTTTGTCTCAGTGAACACCAGCAAGAGAGGCAGCCACAGAAGCAGCCAAGAAACATTTCTGTGGAGCATGTTGGAAAGTTCTCTGTCAGGTTAAAATCCCTAAAGTTTGGAGTTTTCTTCTGAGGTTCTGGAATTCAATTGCAGGAAAATATCACAAATCCTGTGCAGAGTTTTCCTTTAAAATCTATGTTAACATTTCTGTTTTGGTTACAGAAATGCTGTGGTATATATGTGTATCTATACCTCTCATGGGAAATATTTGCTCCTCTCGTGTGTACATCAGTGTCATTCAGGGAGATAACAGGGGATGTCCTTCAAGGCAACAGTCCCAGTGCACAGGGATTGCTTCGTTGAGGCTGAAGACAGAAAGGTGATAGACATAAGCTCACAGGCAATTATTCAGGAGTCTGCAGCACTTTAGAGCTAAAACTTGAAAATACTAACGCTGAACAGACAATAAATACTTCTATGTCCTGAAACCCTTACAGACATTAGTATTAAGGGACCAGACCTGCCCTTACTGGGCTGGTTAGGAGTGGAAAAGGGGACAAAGCACCTTCAGGACCATTGGCAAGACAGGTCATGCCAACAGCTGGTGTGAATTAGCAGGTGAAGGCAGCGCACATCCATCAGCCACAGACCTGTCCTTGTGTATTAATGTTCCCCCAGGCTGAAGCCACCTGCCCATCTTCCGTTTTTCTGAGCACACCTTTGTGCCGGGGGAGATCTGCTTGGCTGCATGACAGAGCACCCTTTGGATAAATAACTAAACAATGGGAAGGATCCCAGCGCCCATTGCAGGGCACCGGGATCCCTCCCTGACCCGCTGGGGACCGGGATCTGCCCCACACGGCGGCCACTGATGGTGTCCAGGGATGGCCTGGGTTGGGAAAGGTGGGAAATGTAACATCAGCATCCTCTCTTGTCCTCCCAAACCTCGCTGGAATTAGGGAGGAAGGAGTGGGGGACACCCCACCTTCCATCCCACACGCAGGTGGGGGGGACATAGAAAGCTTGACTCCGCTGACATCAGCCACACGCACTGTGGCAAAGCATGGCGAGAGCGCTCGGGGGCGCTAACCCGGCTGCATTTTCCCGGTTTTGCCGTATTTTTGTTGGTTTCGGCCTCAAAGGCCGCCCCGTTCCCGCGGCCCCCTCAGGCTCCCGCGCGCTTCCCGCCGGGAGGGGGCGCTGCGCCGCTGAGGCGATGGGGGGGGCGGCGGGAGCGCGCGGCTGCCTCCAGGGGGCGCCGCGGGGCCCGCGCGGGGGCGCGCAGCGGCGGGGGCGCGCAGACAGGTGCGGGAACACCCCCCATTCCCGGGAATGGGAACACCATCCCCCCATTCCCGGGCACGGGAACACCCCCATTCCCGGGCACGGGAACACCATCCCCCCATTCCCGGGCACAGGAACACCCCCCATTCCCGGGCACGGGAACACCATCCCCCCATTCCCGGGCACGGGAACACCCCCCATTCCCGGGAATGGGAACATCATCCCCCATTCCCGGGCACGGGAACACCCCCCATTCCCAAGAACGGGAACACCCCCCATTCCCAAGAACGGGAACACCCCTCATTCCCAAGAACGGGAGCACCCCCCATTCCCAGGCACGGGAACACCCCCCATTCCCGAGAATGGGAACACCCCCCATTCCCGGGCACGGGAGCATCCCCCATTCCCGGGAATGGGAGCATCCCCCCATTCCCGGGCACGGGAACACCCCCCATTCCCGGGCACGGGAGCATCCCGCACATTCCCGGGCACGGGAACACCCCCAATTCCCGGGAATGGGAACACCCCCCATTCCTGGGAATGGGAACACCATCCCCCCATTCCCGGGCACGGGAACACCCCCCTGAGACCTCTCTGTCACCACATCGCACTCGGGAAGGGGCAGCAGCGAGGAGAGCGGGGCCGCAGGGATGAGCCCATCTCAGTAACTCCTCTGGGGAAGTTGTTGGGTGTTACCATCCCGACCCTCCAATCTATATTTTGCAACCGTCCGGGAACACAACTGGGATTATTTATTATTGTTCCCTCTTATTAATTTAATTAAGTCTTGTTGGTGTAGCTTTTTTTTTTTTTTCTTTTGCCCCGTATTAAAGGAAATGAAGTCAACATCATTAAAAGGAGTGGAATAGGCGTATGCCAAAGTATTTGTAAGAGCACGTTAAAAATATTCTAATATGAATTCCAGCTGTCTCGCAGGCCTCTGGTAACTTTTCCGAAGAAATCCAGCGACGCCGCAGCCCCGCTGCTGTCGTCCGTGGCTTGAATACAAATTTGTGGCAACAGGGGGAAGCAACCTTCATTATTTCCTACAGTCACACTTTTTAAATCAAGTTAACTAGGAATTTTTAAAGGCCTTTGGCATTGCCTTTGGTGTAAGGCTCATGATATTTGGGATTAAAGGGAAATTGTACCAACCTTACCTGCTCCAGGGAACAGCAAAGACCCCAGTGAGCCCACACCAGTGTCACTCAGGGCATGTGGCATGGCAGAGGGCTGATGGGGTACCTGAGTTCCAGGGTCTGTGTTTTAGGGTATCCCTGTTTAAGTACAGCCATGTGTTGGGTTCTGGTGTGCAGAGTGGTGTACTGGTGTGTCAGAGTACCTTGTGCTGGGGTACCTGTGTGGCAGGGTACCTGTGGGCAGGTGTAGCCGTATATTGGGGTGCTGTGTGCTGGGGTACCTGTGTGGCAGGGTACCTGTGGGCAGGTGTAGCCGTATATTGGGGTGCTGTGTGCTGGGGTACCTGTGTGGCAGGGTACCTGCGGGCAGGTGTAACAGTATATTGGGGTGCTGTGTGCTGGGGTACCCATGGGAAGGTGCAGTGCTGTGCTGGGATCCCTGTGTCTGAGTGCTGGGGTACCTGTGTGATGGGCACTGGGGAGGGGTACCCCACCCCCTCCCTCGCCTGCCTTCTCCAAGATGTCATAAAACCATTCCAAGGGATGAGCTGAAGAAGGGGGGTCCCGGCAGGAGCAAAGAGCCCCTCTGCAAAAGGATGCTGCTTTCTTTGCAGTCCCTTGGCCAGAGGGCACTAGGAACACCAGCTCTGGTCCTTTCCCTGTTTTGAAACACCAGGAGACATTCCTGGTGTCTCAAAAGCATTGGGAACAGCAGCAGTGCTGTGAGGAGGAAAAAGCAGCTTCCCTGGAGTCTCCACTGGACATGGACTGCAGCTGGCCATGGTCACTCCCTCCTTCCACTCAGGTGTCCAGTGTTTTCCTCTGCTCTATACATTTCTCCCTGGCTTTCTGATTTTCTAAACCATAGGGAAGGATTTTCCATGGAGATTCAGTGCTCTCTCTGTGCACATGCAGAAGGCCGGCCCACAGGTTCCCTTTGCCAAGCAGAGCAGAAGTCACTTGCACCAAAGTTTGGAGCTCAGCAATACTGAAAATCTGGAGATATTTCTTGAATTTAACGAGGAGGGCTGTGTGTAAGTCAGAGTTTGATGCTGCAGTGCAGTGGCAGAGAGCAGTTTCAGCCTCCTGCCCTGCGTGCTGCATTATTGCTGGGGGGTTTATCCCGGATTTTATTAGCCGTGTAAGCATCTCCTACGTCCTGCTCTCAGGAGTGACTCCTCCCTCGCTCAGCACTGCAAGTCTCAGGGACTTGCCAGTGCAGCTGCTGGGATTCAGGCATTCCTGCAACTTCTCTCCCTGAAACCCTGCCCTGACCCTGGGCACAGCCAAGGGGATCCCGCGCTGGGACAAAATTCCCAGGGATTGTGTCAGCCCTGAATTATAGTGATACCACCAACACTTTTCATAGGGGTTTTTCTTTTTTCTTTACTGTTAAAGGATGTGATAGGGAATAACAGGCAAAGCCACTGCAGGGCCTAACAGAGATGGTGGGGGGAGGCCAAGCTGCGGTCCTAAGCCATGATACACTAATTTCTCAGGACCGGGGGATCTTTGGCTTTATGGTTTTGGTTGATGGGCAGTGGGAGCAGTGCTGGGACACCGGGGTACCACAGTCACTACACCCGGCTGGCACAGAGCCCCTCTGCCACAGGGCTGGGAGCTCTGGAGGCTGCCCGGGGATTTGCATCCCGCTGCCGCCGGGGCGGATGCTGCAGCTCCAGCCCCGGGAGCTGTAACCCTCCCACAGCCACAATCCATATGGGATAGGGCTATATGCGGATACGCACATGTACACGCGGCTTGCAGCGCTGGCAGGCAGGAGCACGCTGGGCGGGAGAGCCCGGGGGTCCCCCCGCAAGCCCCGCCGCGGAGCCGGGCCCGGGAGGCACCGCGGGGAGCGGCGGGGGCGGGCGCGGCGGCTGCCAGGTGCCCCCCTCCCTCCATCCCTCCATCCTCCATCCCTCCATCCTCCATCCCTCCATCCCTCCATCCCTCCCGCCCTCCGCGCCGCCCCCGCCGCTTCTATTCAGACTTTATTTTGCAGCGGGGGTCGGGGGGCGCCGGCTCTTCACTGGATTTCTCCCCCCCCTCACCTTTTTATTTTCGTTATTTATATTTTTGAATTTTTTTTTTTTGGGGGGGGGGGGAAGGTGGGGAGCTAGCCAAAATCTTCCCGCTCTCCGCATGTGCGTGATTTAGAGTGACAGAATTGCGAGCCGGGGCTGGAGCAGCGATAAATCAGCTCCTCGCCGGCGCGGGTTGCCGGGACTCGCCCAGCGCCGGACGGAGACTGCGGCAAAAGAGAGGGGGAAAGGAAAGCGGGAAAAAAAAAAAAAAAAAAAAAAAAAAAAAGAAAGAAAAAGAAAGGGTGTGGGGGGAAAAAGAAAAAAAAATAAAATGGGGAGAATACAGGATTACAGGAAAAATAACTGGGCAGCCCGCGGGCCGGCGGAGCGAGCGGGGATTGCGCGGGTGCGGAGCGGCTGCAGCGGCCCCGGTCTGCGCTGCTCCGCGGGGTTTTCCTGTCTTGGCTCCTTTTTTATTTTTGCGGGTCCTTTTTTCTTAAAGATTTTTAGGCTTTCTTTTTCCTTTTTCTTTCCTCCTCCTGTACCTTAGATGAAAATGGCTACCAGTGACTTGGCGAGCGTTGGGAAGGCAGAGCTGGCAGGTTGCGAGATTTATTTATTTATTCCCCCCTACCCCCCACCCCTTTCCTCCAAATAATCCAGAGGCAGAGCAAAATCAAACAGCGAACTTTAAAGGCTTCGCTTGAATTCCTTCCGCCCCGCACCTCTGTGTTCTCTGCCCGCAGCCCCGATGCGGTGCCAGGGCTGTGCCCGAGGGGGGGCCCGGAGCACGGGGAGCTGCGGTGCCCATCACGGGGCAGCGGCTGCTCGGGGAGCGGGCAGGAATCGGGCAAAACCGGGCAGGATTTGGGCAAAACCGGGCAGAAATCGGGCAAAACCGGGCAGGAATCGGGCAAAACCGGGCAGAAATCGGGCAAAATCCGCCGCGCTGCGAACTCCCTCAGCGATTAAAATGGTGCCGCGGAGCTGGCGGATGCTGCGGCGGACACTGCGCTCCCGCGTAGGAATTTTCCTCTTTTTTTTCCTTTTTTTTTTTTTCCTTTTTTTTTTTCCTTTTTTTTTTTTTTTCTCCCTTCTTCTTTTTTTTTTTTTTATTATTATTATTTATTTTTGTGTCATGCCACAGATCTACAACTGTACGTGCAAATAAAAGCGAGAGCTCACGGATACCGCTTTCCTTCCAGCGAGGACTGAGTAGTTAATCCAATAAGTATCTGTATTGTTTGGGGCGATGTGTGTGTGGTAGGGGGGAGGCAGTTAATCATGTATCGCAATGTATGGATAAAATAGATGAATATTAAAGTGACGTGGGGAAAGAGTGCCGGCGCGGGGGCTCCTTTCGGGGGAGAGGGCAAAGAAGAAAGTGGAAACAATCTTTTAAAATATTTTCCATTCATAAAAATGGCAGAGGGCTTATCCACCAGTCTATTTCTGCGTCTGACTGAACAGCTAATGCGTTATTGCCAGCTTCAAAAGATAATTGTAGTGTCGGTAGAGACCTAATAATACAGTAGCACATGTAATTTTAAACAACACCTCATTGTTTATTGGGATGTAACTTTCCCAAAGTTTATTTGTAGCATTAAGAGATTTTTAAGTGCAGGAACAAATTGCAAATGAGCAGCTGTGGGGCGATGCACGGTTTGTGTGGCTACAAGAGTTTCTATATTTAGTGACAATCTGAATCTGAAGAGGATAAAAAAAAAAAAAAAAAGAATATTTTTAAGGAAATGCTTATTTCCTCCTGGAGGAGGGGGGAGCTGGGCTGGGGGGATCTCCTGGTTCGGGTTTTCAGTTTTCTGAGGGAGAAATAATGCAGTCAGTGTGTCTTTGCCCACGAGCTTCACGACCGTACGTACACCTGCTCTGTAGGCTCAGAAAAAACATTTTCATGCAAAAAGTTAAGGAAGGGGTCGGGCATACGTACGTGGGGCGGTGTTGTGATTTATGTGCTTTTCCAGGAATCCAAATAAAACCATAGCTGAGCGTATCCCTTTGTAAGGGCCACCTGTGCATCACGCCTGCTTGTTCCGGGGGTTACCCTATGGAAATCTTCCCAGCCCAGTATAGAAGTTAACACAACAGTCGGGTGAGCAGAGGATGCTCTCACCTTCTCCCTGCTGTTAGGAGAGGAAAGCAGTGATTGTGACAGGCAGCCCACACGGATTACACTTCCTTTTTTTCCCTTTTTTTAAAGAAAAACTCCCTTTCTGTTAAAAAAAAAAAAAAGCAAACCAACAAAGCAGCTTCTCCAGAGAGATCCAGTACCAGCACAGGGTGCCCAGTGCAGGGATCTATATTGCCAGGGCTTACAATGCGGCAGGTCAGTGAATTACAGTAATAAAGACTTCAAAAAAAAAAAAAAAAAAAAAAAATTCAGGTGCTGAAACTAACACATTTCCTTCACTACTCCAAAGGAGCCATGGGCTCTGGGAAAAGGCAGAGCAAGCAAATGGGACTGGGTGCACTTCACTCTGTGTTTTTTATTTTTACAAAATTTTTTAGGCAGAAGCATTTGGTCTTGTGCAGGTTTTTGAGTTGTTACAACCAACTTTTGCATGTGAGCTACGGCACATCTTTTATGGCTCAATCCTTGCACATTATGAAGTTGCCCATAAAATTAGAGGAAGTAGAGAAATAAAAAGTTACTAATCTCAGAGAAAGAGTATTACTTTATATTCCCTATAATTTCATTTAGTTTGAAGTTTATGGGCTATCAGTGGGGGGTTCTAAACTATCTGGTGTCAGTGTCTGTCCTTCCTATGAAGAATACATCACCTTTTAAAGAATACATAATTTAGGACTGAAAGAGGTATTTTTAATAGTAGAAAAGAGAAAGAGTTAGGAAAACTTGTGATGGAAAACTTTCCTGTTCTATACCTGTGAGGAAAGTGATCAGATCTCATGTGCTGTCTGAGTTAGCAGGGCTAAAACTATTTTATAAAAAATAACTGCAGAAGAGAATTGCAGATAAATTTTGTGCTAGAAAAACAGTAATAAACCTGCACCTGTTACTGTGCCCTTATAACCAGCCTGTCTCTAACCTAGGCACAAAGTTGTCTGAGTTTGTGTCTGAACAGGCCACTCATTTTTTTTTTTCTTCCCAAAACTTTAGCATAGATAAGAAATGAGGAAAAAATACTTAGCAGTGAAGTAGATTGCTGCTTTGAATTTATTTATTTATTTATTTGGGGAAATAATGCCCATCTCATTGTGAAAGTTACAGACTTCAGAGAAAAGCCTGCAGCGAAGGGCAGCAGGGAATGCATGTTAATGAGGGTGAAAAGACCACCACTGCTTGCAAGCAGCATAGGTTGATGTTTAATATTAGTATTAATATTCCTGTTTTCTCTTAGACATAACTTTTCTTTGTCACGTAACTGTTTGTGCTATCTGAAACTTTACAAAGACCAGTCAGCAATTCCTCAGGTTCATTTTTCACACCCTGTATTGAATCTCAGCCTTTATATTCTGAGCAAACCCTGAATATAAAACGTTCTCATGTAAAAGCAGGGACAAAAGACTCACTTTCCTTTTGAGAAACAGATTGCATAAATAAATATGACAATACATGGATATATAATATACTAAAATAAATACTGTGTGGATGGGTGTGGATGGGTATATAAACAATATTTGCCACACTATGTTTATACCACTCTTGCGCAAACTTTATCAAGTGAAATTTTCATTGAGGTGTGCGAGATTAGGAGCAAAGTGTTTATGCCCAACTGCTTGATAAAACATGGGATTTAGGACACCAGCAGTATCAGTTCTGCATGGTGTAATCACTCCGTATCGCTGGAAAATGATTTCGTACCATTGTGAGAGGTGTCCCTCAGCTTCCAGCAGTGATAACACTGCGGGACTGTGTACAAATAAAATATAGCTGAGGATAACTGTACATATTTGCATCTTTTCTGACTGTGAACAGGGGATTTATCCAGCTGGATGGTGGCATCAACATAAGAAGGGAGTAAGAAGGGAGTTTTAGGTTCCTGCTGGCCCACGGTCTGGCCTGGCCCAACGGGCACTGCTTGAGCCCACTCGTAAACCACAGCGAGCTTATTAAACTCCATCCACTTTCACAGGGAACTTTCACTTCAAGGTATATTTCATTTCTTCAAATAAACCCTGCTTGCAAAGGGGTTTTTATCTTAAAAATGCTACCACTTCTTTTGCTCCCCATAAGAAGATCTACGGCAAAACAAAAGGGGAAACGCTGCCTCTCCCGCCTCTGTCCGTTCTGTTGCTTCCTTTCTGCAGCCTGCACACTTCTGCTGGAAGTTATTTCCTCCGCAGCGCATTTCGCAATAGACTCCAGACCCTGTGGAAATGCACTACAGCTCTGCAGGCGTTTCTGCGCCGCGCTGGGCGCCGCAGCCAGCGCCCCACGCGCGGCCGTGCCAGGCAGCGATGCCGCCGGGAGCTCACGGCCAAAGCAGGTCTTTTCACACAAAGATTGACCAGTTTTTAGTGTGCTTACTCCCACTTGCTCTTAGCACAGCTGCTTTAATTCCCCACATGGATGTGGCTTTGGCGATGCACCCATGGCCTAGACCCCAAATGGTGTAGCAGTTTTCATCTGCCAGATAGGGACTGCAGTACTTCTTCATCATCCTGCTAACATTTATGAATAATGTGAGAATCTGTTTTCCCCCTCTGTTCTCCTAACTTTATTTGAGAAATTAGATATACCTACAGACTCCCAAATTGATGTGATTGTTAGAGTTTAAATGCCTGACATGTGATAACTAATTTTTATTTTCAGGATCTTGGTCATTGGATCACAGCTTAATTTCCTTTGACACTTAGGATCATAGATTCTAAATTGCATAGTCTAACATGTATGCTTTCATACTGCTGGGAATCATGGCGATGGACAGAAAATATTGCATAGAAACACAGTATTATTCACATATGTGAATGCAGTAGTGGCGTAAGGTGAGAATTTCCATCAAACATCCTACTCTGCTTATTTAAGCTACCCCCTGAAATTTGGAGCCTGGAAGATGAAAGTTCTGCCCTCCTATTTTAGGACGACATAGCATTCACAAAACCATGGTGTTTATTGTAGAATCATAGAATGGCTTGGTTTGGAAGATATCTCAGATATCATCAAGTTCCAACATCCCTGCTATGGGGAACTCTATTTCAGGATCTGGGGCTTTTAAATTAAGGAGGAAAACCCTATTATGCCCAGTTCTTTGTGCACCTGTGGAATCAAAATAGTCTCTTCCCAGGAGAGAGTGTTACAGAATAACCCTACAGAATTTTTGGTAGCTTTAGAATATTGTTATTTCATGGCGGATGGCAGGACAAGGTTGGGCATAGCACTAAACTACTGTTTCTCTGTGGCATTTCTACTGGGATTTGTAGATAGTTCCATAGTCGGTTGTGGGACAACAGAGAAACATCTGGACATTGATTTCCTTCCACCACACTGGAACTTGGGTCTTTTGGGGATGCGAGTAAGCCGTCTATGGCTCTAAGGTCTTGATGGAAAAGGGTCAGGATTGGAGATTTCAGGGAGCTTCTGGCTTTTAGCGGGGTGAAGCTGCTCCCAGGGCAGCCAGAGTGGCTCTCCCAAAGCCACCAACATCACTCAGGGCCCAGGAGAGCCCTGTTGTCTGCCTCAGGCCTTTAATGACTGCTGCTGTATGTTAACAGGCCATACCACATATAGCCCGGCTATTGTCAGCGCTGATCCTTGTCCAACTGACGGGCTATTCAAAGCGCTTCTCAAGCCTCTCCAAAATCCCAGCTTGTTCTACCCCGATGACAGCCATCCCTCCCATTTGGAGTTCTCTTTGTACGCTTGATAACATGGTGGAAATCCCTTATTATGCTTCTTTTAATAATGCTTTCACATGGCAAGGGGACATGATGTTTTAATTTATGCAGCGCACATCATCCTTCGACAATTTGCTAAGAGGAGCCCTCGCGACCTAAGCCTGCGCCGAATAACACAAGTTTATGCAAAACCAGTGGTTTCCAACCTGTGGTCTCCAGACCGCTGGGAGCAGGCGGGCTCCTTCCGAGGGGTCACCAGGAGGTAACCAGGAAAGCAGAGCCGCTGCCAGGAGGTTCAAACGCGCTGCCGCGCATGGAGCCGCACCGCCACCAGCGCAGGTCTGGGGCTCCCAAACTGCAAACTGAAAAGCACTATCTCAGTCAGGGGTTTTTACTTTCTTACTTTTTTTTTCTTTTTTTTTTTTTTTCTTTTTTTTGGTCTCTGTACTCAGCACGCTGCGGCTGCAACCTCTATGTCTTTAAATACCTGCTCAAGTCGATTAAAAGCAGTAAATTCAGAGGGGTAACCACACCACTCCTTATGAGTTGTGTGAGTTGAAGTCTTACTTTGTTGTCAAAAAATAGCAATTAACCTTCAGATCTACTTGGTCTCCCACCCCAAATTAATTTTGCAGTATTATCACGCATCTTGAGGCTTCCAGTTTTAAGCATATAATGCTTCTCCTGTTAATGAAGCGGGTATCCACGATCAAGGGGAGCTGAGAGCCACAGACAATTGTTTGTTTGCCTTTATTTCTCACGCCCTTTGAAGGTTTTTCTTTCTCCTCTGTGTTTTTTTTTTTGCTTCGGTTTTTTTTTGGGGCTTTTTTTTTTTTTTTATTAAGTGACTTTAGCAGATTGTACCCTCAGAGCTGTGAATAATGGGGTTATTCTACAAAAATGGCCAAGGCTAGTTAAGACACACAAAGCCAGGAAATCCTTTCAGGGATGAAATCAGGACTATTTTAGGGGTGCTGTGTAAGTTGGAGACTTTGCAGCTCGGCTGCTGCATCGCTGCCAGGCACGGCAGCGCTGCGGGGATGACCGGTCCTCCCCCGCCGGGGGGACCCGCACCTTCACCGCACCGGGGGCAGCAAAGCCTGGGGGGGTTTGGAAAGCACGGGGGGTGCAAAGGCGGACGTGAAAAGGATGGGGGGTTTGCCAGTGCCAGGTAACTTTGCTCATGCAGCAAAGGAGCTTTGCTGGTGCAAGGGACGGAGTTCCCCGCGCCGGGGAGAGCTGCCCGTGCCGGGGGGTGTGCATGGGTGGGTGGGGGGTGTCTCCGTGCGGAAAGGGAAGGGGGATCCCCGTTCAGGAGGGGGTTTTACAGTGCGAGGGGGCTGGTTATCCATGCAAGGATAGGGGGGTTATCCATGCAGGACTGGGGGGGTTATCCATGCAGGATGGGGGTTACCCGTGCAGGATGGGGGTTACCCGTGCAGGATGGGGGATTATCCATGCAGGATTGGGGTGTGAGGGGGGGTTATCCATGCAGGATGGGGGGTTGGTTGGTTACCCGTGCAGGATGGGGGGTTGGTTATCCATGCAGAATTGGGGGCTGGTTATCCATGCCAGGATAGGGGGGTTACCCGTGCAGGATGGGGGGTTACCCATGCAGGATGGGGGGTTGGTTATCCTTGCAGGATGGGGGTTATCCATGCAGGATGGGGGGTTGGTTATCCATGCAGGATTGGGGGGTTGGTTATCCATGCAGGACTGGGGGGGGTTACCCATGCAGGATGGGGGGTTGGTTATCCATGCAGGATTGGGGGGTTGGTTATCCATGCAGGATTGGAGGGTTACCCGTGCAGGATGAGGGGGGTTATCCATGCAGGATGGGGGGGTTATCCATGCAGGACTGGGGGGTTACCCGTGCGAGTGGCGCTCGCACCGCCCCCCCGCCACCCTCCCGTGCAGGACCCCCGCGGCTGGGAAGGGGCTCGGCGGGGGCGGGACACTGCGGGGCTGCAGCGGGGCCGCCCGCCCGCCCGGGGCTGTGCGGGGGTGTGCGGGGGATGTCCGTGAGCCCCGCCGCCCCCCGGTGCGGGTCTCCTGTGCGAATCGCGGCGATTGCGGAAATACGCGGGGGCGGTGGGGGGAGGAGGAGGAGGTGGAGGAGAAGAGGAGGAGGGAGGTGGGCGGGAGGCTGCCGAATCGCTCGTAACTTCTGCAAAGTCCCGGGCACTGGGAGCCCACCCGGCAGAGCGTGGAGGGGCGACGGCAGCGCCCGGGCGCGCCCGCCCTGACCCCGGCTCGCCCCGCGCCGCAGCCACAAAAAACCCCAAATCAGCCCAAAACCCACGGGAAAAAAAAAATCCCAACACATCCCACCTAAGAGCCGGCGGCGGTTGGCTGCGGCGGGTTTTCCCTTCCGATTCCCAACGGCTGCGAGTCGATTTTAGCCATAAAAATATAAAAAATTGCGAAGAGAAAAAAAAAAAAAAAAAAAGAAGAAAGTGCCGCCAGCCGCCAGAGCCCGCAAAGTTTCTCTTGCGCTGTTATCTGTGTTATCCCTGTTATCCCTGCCCGTGGGACGCGGCGCCGCTTAAACTCCTGTTTTTGTATTTTTAACCCGATTCCCACGCTTTCGCAGGGGGAATTCGCTATTGTCTGCGCGGGCTCTGGGCGCGGAGGGAGCGCGGGCGCGCAGGGCTGCGCCGCAGCTGCTTTTTTTTTTTTTTTTTTAATTTTTTTTTTTTTTTTTGGTCAGGGATTTGAGAAAACCGCTGAGCTTGACAGATTCCCCCGCTTTCCCCCTCCCCGCCCGTACGTGCGCGCCGGCTCCGTGCGCGCCGTCTGGAGCGCCCGCGGCCGCGCACAAAGAAACGCGCCCGGGCGCGGGGTGTGACGGACCGCGGCGGGGACCAATCGGCGGGGCGGAGCCTTGTGACGTCACCCAGAGCTGCCCAATCAGCGGCGGGAGTGGGTGTTGCGACGTTTGAACTCCCCCGGGGGGAGGGGCGCGCCTTTTTTTTTTTTTTTTTCCTCGGTTTTTATTCTCCTTTTTTTTTTTTCTCTCCTCTTTTTATTTTTTTCTCCTTTTTTTTCCCTCCTCTTTTTTTTCTTTTTTTTTTTCTTTTTTTTCTTTTTTTTTTTTTTTGCCTTTTCCGCCGAAGTTGGCGGCGCCCCGCGGGGACGGGGCCGCTGGTGGGGCCGGAGCCTCGGAAACCTCCGGATTTAGCACCCAAAAAAAAAAATAAGGGTGGGGGGAGGACGAGAGAAGAAGAAAGTGAAGATAAAACCACTTTTTTATTTAAAAAAATATCCCACGTTCAAAAAATTATTTATTTTGTCAAAGCGTGCTTAGCAAAACGCTGAGTTGGGAAAAATGAGGATAACTCGCGCGCCCACCCGTTTAGCGCTCAAATATTCTGGGGTGAGGAAAGGTGCTTTCGCTCTACTCGTATTTATTTTTGGGGAGGGGGGGTGTCCGCGGCTGCGGAGGGGCTGCACTTGACCGTGGCCCCTGCCTAGAGGGCGCAACCAGCCGTCCCGCGGCCAAAAGTCTCCCGAAGGGCGCCAAAAGTTACTTAAAAGATAATGCTGGAAACCGCAAAAGGCTGGGAACGGTGCGGCACGGACGAGTGGGGGACACAACCCACTCCCCCTCCACCTCCGGAATAAGCTGCGGGAGGGGATTTTTCCTCCTTTTCCCCTATAGATGGGATTTTTTTTCCCTGCGTGTGTCGCCGTCGCCCTCCCCGCTCCGCTAAACAAAAAGGCTGTGACTACGCGCAGGGACGCGGGGGTCACCTAAACTGCCTCCGGCAACAGTGGAAAACGCTATTCCCAAGCGGAAAGGGGGGGGACACACCACCCGGGACACCCTCCGAGTCCCCAGGAGCGGGCTGGAGAGCATCCAAACCCCAAACCCAAACGTTGCCGGTGCCAAGACAATGCGCTCCAGAAGTGTCAGGAGGCGCGGGGGTATTTTTAATTTTAAGCGCTTCACTTTTAGATTTCATAAGTAAGAAAGAGGGGGGAGTGAGATGTGCCGATGAATTTATGTGTTGCTATTTTTTAGAAGAAAATTTGTATTTTTTTTTTTTTAAAGTGGAATAAGCACCCTTGATTCTAAAGCGCTTGATTTAAAATGACAAGTGCCAAAGGGGATGGGGAAAGTTGTGGAAGGCAACGCCGCTTCCCCCAGCCTCCCCCGCCTCAGCCCCATCCCTCCACGGTCAAGGGCCGAGCGGAGCCGCAGCCCCCGGGAAGAGCAAAATAAATAAATAAATAAATAAATAAATAGCAATTATGAAAAATACACATCTCCCCCCTCGTAAAAAGAGAAAAACTTTGAGCCGAGCCCTGCTCGCCTCTCGGCTCCGCGGCTGGCCGCGCTGCGGGGCGGCGGGGCGGAGGGAGGCGGCGGCGCCGCAGCCCCCTCCCCGCCCCTCCCCGCCCCCGCGGGCGGGCGGCGCGGGGCGCGGGGCGGGCGGTGCGCGGCGCAGAGCGGAGGGGCGCGGAGCGGAGCGGAGGGGCGCGGAGCGGGGGCGGCGGAGGGGCGCGCAGCGAGCGCTATGCCTTTAACGGCGCGCGGGGCAGGCATGCCGAGCGCGTAGTGCGGGAAAGTCGAGGCGGGGTTAAAGTTCAGCTCATGGAGCGGCTCCGCGCTGGCTGCAGTTTGGCAGAGTTGGAAATGTGAAAGCAAGAAGCAGGCTCGGGGCTCCCCCTCCTCTCCTCTCTCTCTCTCTTTTTTCCCCTCCTCTCTCTCCCTCTCCCTCTGTCTCTCTCCCCCTCTCTCTCTCCCTCTCTCCCCGCACACGCACACCTCCAAACCGCAGCCCCCCGCAGCAGTCATGTATTCTCCGCTCTGTCTCACCCAGGTAAGCGGCCGCCGGGGCGCGGTGGGGCCGGCGCTGCGGGGGTGCGCGGCCGTGCGCGCCGGGGAAGGGGCACCACCGCCGCTCGCCGAAACTAACTTTGTTGCCTTTCGCTCGCATCCCCCCCCCCCTCCACCCCCTTCCCGCACGGCCATTTGTGTCGGCACATGGCTAATGGCGCCTACTTATTAATGCTTTAATTAACGGGGGGGTGGGGGGCCCGCGCGGGCGCGGTGCTGCGGGACGACCCGCACGGCCCCGCCGTGCTTGGTCATCCGCGATCGATGCCGCCGATGCCGCCGCCCGCGCCGGAGCGCCTCGCACCGCCCCGCACCGCGGCCCCGGGGCAGCGCCGGAGCCGCTGCGCCGCTCCCCGCCCCGGGCACGGCGCGGCCCGCACCCCGCGGCACCGCGCTCGGGGCTCCGCGGGAGCGGCCCCGCCGGCTCCGCGCCCCTTCCCCCCCAGCGCCCCGGGCACGGAGAGCGGGACCGTCCCCCGCACCTGGGCTCGCTCCCGCGGTGCGGCGCGGTGCGGCCGCCCCCGCGCAGAGCACCCTCCGCACCCGCGGAGGCCGCCCCGGCCGGGGGACCGTGCGTGTGTCCCCCCCGCACGGACACCCGCAAACTTGTCCCGCGTGTGTCGCCTGTCCCCGCCGCCACCCTCCCGCCCGCGGATCGGGCCCCGCGGCGCTCGGCGCAACTTTTGCGCCCTCCGCTCGCGGCGGGACGGGGCTGCGCGGGGAGCGCAGGCGGGGGCGTCGCTCCGCGGTGCCCCCCGGTTGTGCGGCCGCGGAGCCCCCGGCCCCCCTTTTCCCCGCGCGCTGCTGCAGGACGCTGAATTACACCCCTTCAATTAGCAGGATATAATGGTTTAACGAGGAAATGCTTTGTGGCGGACTCAAACCCCAGATTATTTCCTCCTGCAGGAGATTTTGACTACATTATTCTTATTAATTTAATTGGAATATTTTTTTTCTCCCGGTGAGAAAGCCTCTCCGGGATCTTTCCGTCGAGAAAAAGGCAAGGAATTGCAGGGAGAGGGGCGGCAGCTTCCCAGGCAGCCCGAAGAGCTGTGAAAGTTTCGTCCCCTTCTCCAGTCGCGGTCCCCTCTCTTTCTCCAGCCTTCCCCAAATTTTGGGGTGCTGGCGAAAAAACACCAGGCCGGCGGGGGCACGAAACTCCAAACCGTACACTTGCTCAAAAGGCAGGAGGAAAATGTGAGCAGCGGGAGTTTGCAGAGGATGGGATGCAGCAGCTCGGGGCTGTGCCTGGGCAAAGTTTGTGCCTTTTAATTCAACTCTGAGAAATACCTGGTTTTTGTCAGCGCAGCGGCTGCAGGAGGGACCCCCGGACACTCCGTGCAGGGCCCGCAGCGCCGACGCTCTTGGCATCTCCACGTGGGGCTCCTGGGGCTCAGTAGGCCCAGTTGCATATTAAGGAGAAAAAATAAATCCATGGGCTGGTTGTTCCCTGGCCCAGTCGTGTCCTGTCCCTGTGCCCCCCCCCACCAGCTTTTTTTTTTTTTTTTTTTTTTTTTTTTTTTTTTTTTTTTTATCAAAAGGAAAGCAGAAAGCCAGGCATGTGCTTTGACTCCGTTAGGAAAATCTGGCATTCTTGCTGCACGTTTGGAAAAGTAATAGGAGGATTAGAGGCCTCCTGACAAACTCTTCCCTCCGAAGGATCAGTTAGGTGATTCTGTCATTTTTCCATAGAAAAAGGGGGTGAGCCATGGGCTATGGCAAATTATTTCCTATTTTATCGTTTCAAGAGCTTTTATTGATACAAGTTTTAGAAAGGGTTGTTTTTTCTTTTTTTTTTTTCTTTTTTTCTTTTTTGTCAAGTTTTGGTTCAGATTTAAAGGGAAGCTCTTGAAAGTGGGTTAGAAAAGGAAAACAAACAGAAATCCTGGTTCTGAGCATATTTATCCAAGCCCTGGAACCAAAATGGCACAAGCATTTTGTGTCATCTGTCAGGAAAAATCCAAACATCATTCCATTTACATATCTGCTGAGGAGCTAGGAAATAGTTGGGGAACATATGCACGTCTACTCATAGATTTACAAGCAAATGGATTGTAAAAATATTAGCAAGGGTCGCTGTAGTTGGCTTAATTTCAAAAATATCCTGCAGAAATACATTGTTTCAAAGCCTCCTTTGCAGGATTACATTATCGAAGGCGCCTTTGGGTTGGCGTTGGGGTTCTTTTGTCATAGGGTTTTTGTTTTGCTTTTTTTAACACCTTTTTGAAGAGCAGAGGAGAATTTTGGGATAAACTGTACAGAACTGTGCGGCCCAAATTTTAGGTGCTGCTTAGAGACAGGCAGCTCTCGGAAGAGCTGTATCCTCAAACTTCGGAGAGGAGTGCAATAAAGAAAACCCAACTTTTTATTATTGCTTTGCCAGCTTTCTGGTGTCTTTTATTTTTAGGTAACCCATCCAACACTGAGGGGAGAAAGCAAACAGCTTTATCAAACACTTTTAAAGTTTCCCTTCAAGCTAACTTGTGGAAAGGGAAAGATCATTGCCTTTTCTACCTGTTCCTTAAAATCCAGCTATTTTGCAGCGAGGCTGCAGACAAGTTGCACATCTGTTAGCACACTTGCACTGACACATTTCCAAAACTTTTTGGGTTTTTTGAGGGGGCTGTAGCGCCACTGCAATAAAAAATTGTATTGTGCAGAAGCTGCTCCCCCCCCCCACCTCCGTCCTCGCATCCAGCCCAGTTCTGTTTGATCAGTCCTGGCTGCTTTTATTTCCACTTGGACTTTGCGAATACCTCAGCGCCGAGATTGAAGCGGTGCGATTTTCCGGAGCAGCATGTTTACCAAGACACTTTGAAAGTTGGTCTGTTTATGAGTCGTTAACCTTTTCTCCTCATACACCATTTTGAAAAGACACATTAGGGTGTAATAGGGACGTGCACACCTCGTGCCTGAGCAGCAGGGCTTCTCGTTTACTTCAGCCACAGACCCTGACTTTGCACCAAGAAGCATCTTGGTTTTTTCCCCCCTCCCTTTAAAGTGGTTTAGTGTTTTTTTTTAATGGGTTTTTTTTTGGGTGTTGTTTTTACCTCCCCTTTCAGGTTCACATCGTAGAAATCAGCTTTAGCGCAGGTTAAAGCAACTCTCTCTTGGATGTTGTCCAATGCCGAGCCAAAAAAGTCCCGAGCACATGAGATCAGGCAGGACAAAGCGCTGCTTAAAGCAGGAAAGTTAAAATATTTCAGGATGTACCAAGACGTGTTTGGAAAGTGGGAAGGCTGGAAGCGCTGCCATGGCTCGCTGTGGGCTGTCGAGCCTCTTTGCTCTGTGTACCTTCACAGATAAACTTCCACTTGACAAAAGGCCTTTTTTTGCTTGACTCTCCCTGAGTGGGGAAAGGGAAGGACAGGAGGGATCAGGAGGGAGGGTTTATTATTTTTAATAGCTTGTAGAGACCTGCAGTTTTTATATTTTTCTTTCTTTTTTCCCCCCCCTGCCTCCCCCCCCCCACCCCGTGAGAGCTGTTTCTGGTGGGTGAGAGCAGCTCCATGTGCTGGGATTGTGCCTCTCACTTTTTGAATCTGCCGACTGCAAACTCGCAGCAATCTTTTCTTTTTTTTTTTTTTTTTTTAAACTTTATTGAAATTTGAAACTATCATCTTTTCCCATAGAGGAGGGAAAAAAAAAAAAAGAGGAATGTGCCAATCACTGGAGTGATTTATTTTATTTTACCTGCTTTTATTTTAATAACCATAGTACTTTGATTGCTGCCGCTCTGCTCTAATGAAATATATTGTGCTGCTAGGAAAGTTTTTAACAATCTGTGTTAAAAATAAATGCAGTGGTGCTACCTATAGATTTAAGTATCTACAATTCTGGGGCCACTCAGAATAAGTGCAATGAAAGCTTTTGGGGAGTCAGCTGAAGGTGTTGAATTATGAAAGGATTTTGCTGATAGATATTTCTACTATTGATTTCTCAAATTTTCATAATTTCTGAAAAGAACAATGCAAATTAAAATAAAGTGTTGAAAGGAAGTAAAATGTCTGTTTTAATAACCATATTTGCATGACTCACAACGATTTGAGTAGAAAATTTACTCCATGGGATAATTAAAAAAAAAAAGTTAGTTTGTTAATCTGAAAAATCCCCGATGTTTCCTCGCACAGGGGTAGGTAGCGGGTGGCTTTTCCCATGCTGGGGAAAACGTTGCACAGATTACTTTATTTTTCCCTCCTGGAGGGCCCAGTCCTGAGAAAAGGAGGTACTGGAAGCAGGGACGTCCCCAGCAGGCAGCGCTGGATCAGGCCCCATAGGCTGGATATGTTTTTATGTGCAACCTGGAGTTGGGTCATTCATTTATTCAGAGAAAAAACAAGAAGCATGGCCCCAGTATATTATAATATGTTTGGATCTTTTTAGCTGATTTATGTAATACTAAGTGAGAAAAAAATATAAATCTATATATATGTAATTATTAAAAAAAAAAAAATCGAGGGATCTTTTGCCTTTTTGTAGCGTCAGCATAATTTTAATTGCGATTTTTTTTGTGCCAAGGGAGAGGGGTGATCTTTAACTCCTCGTTACACAAAGCGAGCAGTGTCTCCGGATGGCCAAACTAACTTTCCAAGTAGGGCATTTATTTTAAAATATTTGAAAATCTGACACAATTAATAATTCTTTGCGTATTTGCACAAGTTGTGCTACAGTTTTCTGTTACCGCATTTTTCAATTTTTCCTGGTTTTTTTGAGTATTTTTTTTTATTAATTTTACAGGAAGGCTCAGAGTTTGACTTTCCCTAATATGCCCAGATAGCAAGTTGTTTTTTTTTTTTTTTTACTAAATATAAACAAAAATATTAAAAAAAAAGATAAATTGCAAGGCTTGTTTTTTCTAGGGTTTTAGTGTTAGTTATGATTGCGCTGGCGGGATAAATCAACCACGGTACTTCTCGCTCCCTTCACTGTTTAGGAACCAGAGTGAAAACCACCCTTCATTGTAATTGTATATACAGATATAGTGGCATTTTACTATTCTGCCGGCTCCTATTTCCAAATATATCTTAGGGAAAGTTTTACTATACTTTAGACTTCCCCATACAAACATTGATTGGCATCCAAATGTTTAGGATTTGCCAAATTGGCGGGCAAACGCTGGCTACACCGCAAGCAGTGGGGTCAGGGAGAGAGCAAAGGGAGATACGCGCTCCGCAAGTGGACTTGCAAAGGAGTTTTTAGCTTTTAACTCATTCTGCCCTTTTTTAAAAAAAATTTTTTTTAAAGGCTGGGGGACTGGGGAAAGGGCTCCAGCATTGCACCATCTCCATCTGGGCGCTTGGTTAAAGTTGGAGCCCGTTTTTGTGGGGCGGGAGCAGAGGTTTCGGATCGGCGCGAAAGGAAAGTGGGGATGCAGCAGTGGTGGGTTCAGGGTCCATCACTGAGGGGTCCCACAGCACTTAAAATCTATCAGCACCCTCCTAATTCTCACCATCCTGCAAAACCCCTGTTTTTGAAGGCTCTTTCTTGATGGTTTCGGTGGCATCAACCATTCTCTGTAACTTTTTTCAGGATGAATTTCATCCCTTCATCGAAGCACTTCTGCCTCACGTCCGAGCGTTTGCGTACACGTGGTTCAACCTGCAAGCCCGAAAAAGAAAATACTTCAAAAAACATGAAAAACGCATGTCAAAAGAGGAAGAGAGAGCCGTGAAGGACGAACTGCTAAGTGAAAAACCCGAGGTAAAGCAAAAATGGGCATCCAGACTTCTGGCAAAGCTCCGGAAAGATATCAGGCCTGAATTTCGGGAGGATTTTGTTCTCACAGTCACAGGAAAAAAGCCTCCGTGTTGCGTTCTTTCCAATCCAGACCAGAAGGGCAAGATGAGAAGAATTGACTGCCTTCGCCAGGCAGATAAGGTCTGGAGGTTGGACCTTGTTATGGTGATTTTATTTAAAGGTATTCCGCTCGAAAGTACTGATGGCGAGCGCCTTGTAAAGTCCCCACAGTGCTCTAACCCCGGGCTGTGCGTACAGCCCCACCATATAGGAGTTTCTGTTAAGGAACTCGATTTATATTTGGCATACTTTGTGCACGCAGCAGGTAAGTGCCTTTCTCTACCACCTTCTCCAACTTTTTTCGGTTATTTCCGTGCCGGGTGCCGTGCCCCTGCGGCGGCTGCATGAGCCAGGGAGGGAGCTGGGGATGCCGGTTATTGCTCTCCCGGGGTGGCGAGGAGGGTGCCAAAACTCCCCCCCTCACTTTTATTTATTTTTTTTTTTTTTCATGGGGTTTTTAAGGTGCAGCCACATAAAAGTGGCTCTTGTTTCCCGCGGTTAACAGCCTTTCGGTCATCCTTCACAGGTGTTATCCTAAATGTTGTCCTAGGAGGGCTCGCGGCCGGACACGGCTTCTTTATCTTAATTTTTGGGGAAAGCAGATAGATTTTAATTTTTTTTTTTTTTTTAAATAAAGTTTGCATATGTTATACACAAAGTTGTCCAGGAGGGCTAGAGATGCCTGAGGCCTGTGGGTCAGGATTACCAGGTATCCTCAACCCACAGTGATGAGATGGGGAACATAAATCCTGCAGGATTGGAGGGAAAAGAGAAGACAGTCCCTTGATAGCAAACCTAGTCATCAGGTCTGAGTAGGCATGAAATAAAACCTCTGGGTGACCCTAGGGCAAAAAGGAGATATTTTAACCCCCCGAAATATCACAATTTATACACCTAAAAGCTAAGCAGGTCTTGAAAAAAAAAATCCTGAATTGACAATATTGTGCTTATGAGGAAGGGCTGAGATGTTTTAACGTGTGATGGAAATCTTGGGATCCCAGACTCCAACACAAAGTATGTTCTGCCTGCGGCGTGACTCGGCGTGCCCAGAGTATGTTGACTGGGTAGAATAATCTGCTATTGTAGTTCTCCTGAGTGATTGTAGTGCAGAAAAACGTGTGTGTGTGTGAAGTGCAATGCCCCGAGTTTCACGTATGGGATGTGTGGTCCCCCAGCATATCCTGACTTGTGAGCTGAGGAGCTGGACAGGCTGGAAAAACAGAGGAGCAGGGGGGAGAGGAATGATATTAGTAGAAACCACTTCTGTATAAATATTTATCGGTAAGAAAACCAAGCAAATTACAGCCCAGGGAGCCTGCATTTCCCATGCCAACTTCTTTCAGAGGGTCTTGTAGAAAGTTTTGGCTTCCCTAAAGTTTTTCTGTGCTGAGTCCCTGCCATGGTTGTTGTGTTAGGCAATGTCGCCGCTGGGATTTTACAGATATGATCCTTGTTCGGAAATAACTTTTGAGTATCCTCATGGTATTTCCTACAGATAAGCTGCAGCATTTACTTTGCACTTCAGTGTGAGGTGGTAAATCATACTGTACATTTATAGTGAAAGGGAAGTAGGCAAATATGGATGAAAATTATTTATTTACTCTGCGCTTTATTATGGCCACCGTGAAGGAAGCGTTATGGATAAATGGCTAACTGAAGGGAGCTTGGGGCTGGGGCATTTCAGGTCACCTCCCGTTCCACCACCAACCCTGCGGGGACATGGACTTGCATCCCTTTTGTCTGCCTCAGTTTCCTCCTCCACATGTTGGAGTGGGGTGATAAATTTAAAATGCTTTGATATACAAATAGAAGCTATAAATATCTATTTACCGATCTACAGGACGCAGGTTTTTATTATTTGGATTTATATATGGCGTGTTGCGGTAAATACTGATCCATATTGTATTTCCCAGGCCCTCCGTTGAGCGGCCAAATTGTTGATAGAAACCAATGGTCTTGGCTTAGATTGCATGTAGGGTCACAGAAATGTAGGATGGGGAGAAAAGGACCAAACCCAAGGGTTGGGAGTATTTCGGGGAGCTTCAAGGGATCTCTCCCTTGAAGATCCGTGTTATAACAGTCGGGCAATAGACGTTATAAAAGTTCAATACGGCGATTACGGATATACCATCTTATCAGCACGCCGATGGCAAACAGTAACCTTGATAGCGAACCGTTATTTATTCCTGCCATCATCATCAACAGGCAGCGATCGCACCGATTGTCCTTCGGTCTCAGTGTTTGCTGCGGAAACTCGGCGCGAAGCCTCAGCGCGGTTTTTGGGGTTAGATTTGGGGATTTGTGTGACCAGCCGCGCGCCTGTGCAGAGCGCACCACGCTATGTTTTTGGCCGTTGTTTGCTGATTGCACGCATTGCATTGTGCTCTCGATGCAGGAGTGTGTGCTGGCATATTCCTGCTAAACCTCAGCAGGGAGGGGGACAAGATGTTTTTTGGGAGGTGGCACAGCGTGGTCGCTGTCTATATGGCTTCACAGAGGTGTACCGAAAGCCTTGCGTAGAGCTACCTCTTTTTCTTCCCCCCTTTTTTCCCGTTTTTTTCCCCCCTCCGATGTATCCCAGCAGTCTTTGTTACACCTGAACATTGGCCAAGTTGACAGCCATTGGTTCCCGCAGACCCGCAGTAATGGCAGCTTGTGCCGGGTGCGCAACAGGAAAATTACAAAAGAAAAAAATATTAAGGGTCCTTTGTCTCCAACTCCATCAGACCTTGCTCCCCAAATGTATGGACCGCGTATTTATAAGGAGGAAGTCTCCAGCGCAAATATTAGGTAGGCTGGTCAACTTACATATAGCGGATTTGACAAGCATCTGCTATAGTACAGAAGATTTGTAAACACTAAACAATGTTTTTACCTCCTTAAAAGTTTTGAGAAGTTGCCAGTATTGGCAGGAGGCACAGACTCCGAAACGTGCTTGAAGATACGTGCCAAAACCATTGTGACCTTTTCACCCATAGTGCTCGCTTCTCTTTTTCTTGTGGGTTTTTTTTTCCCCCCACTTTTCGTCTTCTTTTCTTGGGGGGAGTATTCTGTTCCAAGATGTCCTTATTCGAGATGACTTCGGCAGCAAGATGTCCCTTTCCTTCTAAACATGTAGGATAATTATTGCTTTGAATCCACGCTTTTCCTTCAGTAGGCACTATCATCTGTAAGGGAACACATGTGCACAGATTTAAATAGTGCTTCTTACAAAGCTACTGAAATCAATTATTCTCTTTAAGAACTGGCTAGAAAGAGAAAACAAAAATATGCAAATAGGCAAACTACATGTCATTTTCATTAAAAGGATAAAAAAAAGATATTAAAAAAAAAAAAAAAGGAAAGGAAGATCAGTGCTTTGTGAATTAGAGGTTGACCAAAAAATGTATTGAAATCTAGAGTATTGCTCTCAGTTTGCAGTTTCTAATCTGCTTAACTAAAAGCAGGCGGCATTTTCATACCCTGAACTTGGGTTTGCTTTTTAGTTTTCACTTATTCTGCTCTTGTATCAAATGACAAGTTGGAAACCATTGTGGCAAACCGTTTTCTTTGTGGGAGTCGAACAGTAAAGCTAATTTATGACCGGTCCTTTACCAGATGATCTGTATCAGAATCTACAATATACTAGGCACGTGGCAAGGTCACAATTTAAGTTGTTAAGGTCACAACCTTAGCCACCAGGCATTTGACCTTTTAGATAAAGTTAACCTTTGTTCATTAGTAGGCACTCAACCGAGAACTTTCTGGAGTTTTTTACTGCTTTGGAGTTCCTCCTGCTAATGTGGTCAGATTGGAGAACAGAATCGCAATAGAAGTAGTTAAATTTTCTGCGAGGTCACAGTTTTTAGAGACTTCTCCAGTGGCCGAAGCGGGTTTGTGGGCCAGGAGGCGATGCTGTAATGCCCCGTTTATTTTTTTGGCCGGCCATCGTTATGCGCTCCGGGCGAGAAATAAACTCGCGAGGTATTTGTGGCAGAGAAAATCTTTTAATCTTGCAGAAGGACATATAAAAATCCCAAATTTAAGAAAAAATCCCGAGCTAGGTTTTATTTATGCAAGCTCATTTTTCTGTTCGAGTTTAGACTCGAAGGCAGCGAAAGTGCCAGAACTCAGCCTTATTTTTGTGACTGAAAATTTACTTAACTTCTAGATATGCTCTGTGGCTAATTGCTGGGCAGTGGTATATAGCACATGACCTTGAACTTTAAGCTCGACCCATTTTATGTTCCCGTCAACAGACTTAAAATATTCTCCTTGGACGACCATAAAGAGGCATCGATGGGAATAACCCAAAGATGGGTTAATGCAGCAGCCCCCGTACCCGTGGAGGTTTCGGGGGGTCCGAGAGGTACCCGAGGCTTTGCACCGTAATCTTTTAGTACAATTGGTATTGATTGTTGCTGCATTAATCCTGTTAATAGCCGCAGCCGGGCCGGGTGTCGCAGGGGTGGCAGAGGTGTCCTGACAATACCGTACGTCACTGAAAGAGCTGTCGCAGCGCCTTGAACTCCTGATCGCTGCTCTGCAAAAGTGGAGCGTTCGACGGTGGAAACTATTGCTGGCTCATACAGAAACACACACCATATTGTTTACTTAATTATGCCGGAGCGAAGGCTCATTTTTAATTATTTAGCTGACTTTCTCGCTCTGCTCTGATACCACATTTATTATTTAATTTGAAATCAAAAGGGCTTGCGCTCCTGTTAGTTTTTGATGCGTTTTACTTTTGTTTTGGCTACGTTATTGTCATTCCATCGTACGGTAATCCAGATAGCCGTGATATGCAGATTGGCCAGATGGTCATGTTAACAGATTGAGAACCTACTTCCCACTGCTAAAGAGCAGGTGTAAGATCAGTGGGCTTTTTTTTTTTTTTTTTCCTTCTCCTTTCCTCCAAAGTTTCAACCAAAATGCTCTTTAGACAGATCATAATGGTAGTTAAAAAGGGGAACATTTCAAATGGTGTTTGTTCTGTGGAGATAATGCGTAATGTATATGTCATTTTTACGCCTATCTGAAGACTTTTAAAGCATCCATGACATTCCCTCCACCTATAATGCTTTGAAAAACCTAATTCCAGCTCATGGTTGTTCCAGTCTATATCCAAAACAGTCCTTAAAGTTTTTTTTCTGCAGACAGATTGCATTTCCTCTTACCAAAAAATCACTTCAGGCAGCTTCACAGCAGGTATCTCACACGTGTTCCCTGCACAGGGCTCCCAATATGTGCCCAGGAGAACCTGAGCAGATCAACGGTCAGCTGAGA